CACAGCTCAAAAGCATCGATCTTCCTTCGCTCAGCCTTCCCTAAGGTCCAGCTCTCACATCCGTAGGTATGGCTTTGACTAGGCTTTAACTATGCAGATCTTTGTTGCCAGTGCTATGTCTCTACTCTTCACTATTTTATCGAGATTGGTCATTGTTCTCTCCTCCCAAGAAGTAAGCGTCTTCTGATTTCCTGGCCACAGTCTGCATCTGCAGTAATCTTTGCACCTAGAAATACAAAGTCTGTCATGGCCTCCACGGTTTCTCCCTCTATTTTCCAGTTGTCAATCATTCTTGTTGCCATAATCTTGGTTTTTTTGACGTTTAGTTGCAACCCGGCTTTTGCGCTTTCTTCTTTCACCTTGATTAGAAGGCTCCTCAGCTCCTCCTCGCTTTCGGCCATCAGAGTGGTGTCATCTGCATATCTGAGGTTGTTAATGTTTCTTCCAGCAATTTTCACCCCAGCTTTGCATTCATCAAGCCCCGCACATCGCATGATGTGTTCTGCATACAAGTTAAAAAGGTTGGGTGAGAGGATGCAGCCTTGCCGTACGCCTTTCCCAATCTTGAACCAGTCTGTTGTTCCGTAGTCAGTTCTTACTGTTGCTACTTGGTCCTTGTACAGACTCCTCAAGAGAGAGACAAGGTGGCTTGGGATGCCCATCCCACTAAGAGCTTGCCACAATTTATTATGATCCACACAGTCAAAGGCTTTAGAATAGTCAATGAAGCAGAAGTAGATGTTTTTCTGAAACTCCCTGCCTTTCTCCATTATCCAGCGGATATTGGCAATTTGGTCTCTCGTTCCTCTACCTTTTCTAAACCAGCTTGAACATCTGGCAACTCTCGCTCCATGTATTGCTGGAGTCTTCCTTGCAGGATCTTGAGCATTACCTTACTGGCATGAGAAGTAAGGGCCACTGTACGGATTCTTTTGCATTTCCCTTTTTTTTTTTTTTGGTATGGGGAGATAAGTTGATTTTTTCCAATCTGATGGCCATTGTTGTGTTTTCCATATTTGCTGGCATATGGCATGCATTACCTTGACAGCATCATTTTTCAAGATTTTAAACAGTTCAGCTGAGATCCCGTCATCTCCTGCTGCTTCATTATTAACAATGCCTCTTAAGGCCCATTCAAACTCACTCCTCAGGATGTCTGGTTCTAATTCACTCACCACACTGTCAAAACTATCCTCAATATTATTATCCTTCCTATACAGATCTTCTGTATAGTCTCGCCAACTTCTCTTGATCTCTTCAGCTTCTGTTAGGTCCCTGCCATCTTTGTTTCTTATCATACCAATTTTTGCCTGAAATTTACCTCCAAACACTACAAGGTGACAGTCCATCCAAGGGGGATGCCTGACCACCATCTCCCAAAGCAGTTGCTCTACTCCAAACTCAAGAACGTAAAACAGAATGTTGGTGGGCAGGAAAAGAGATTTAAAGATCGGCTCAAAGCCAACCTCAAAAACTCTGGCATAGACCCCGAGAACTGGGAAGCCCTGGCCTTTGAGCATTCCAGCTGGAGGTCAGCTGTGACCAGCAGTGCTGTAGAATTTGAAGAGGCATGAATGGAGGGCAAAAGAGAGAAATGTGCCAAAAGGAAGGTGCGTCAAGCTAACCCCGACTGGGACCGCCTTCCACCTGGTAACCAATGCCCTCACTGTGGGAGAGCATGCAGATCAAGAATAGGGCTCCACAGTAATCTACGGACCCACCACCAGTACACCGATCTTGGAAGACAATCCTACTCGAACAACAAGGGATTGCCTAAGTAAGTAAGAGAGACACCAAGAGGGGAAAAACAAAGCTATATTTGGGAAAGGACTGCATCATGCACCAAGTGGCACCTTTCCCCACATTGATTTAGATTCCTCTGCAAGATCCAAACTTGGTTCCTCTTCAATCTCAATCACTAAAAGACCCGAGGCTCCTATGTTTCTGCCCACCTTTGGCCCCAAAGAGCACTATGAAACAAGTGGCACCAGAACACCGACTTGTCAAGGGTGAAATTATTATTATTATTACTATTATTTCAGTATTTCTACCCCATATCTTCTCAGCTCCCGAAGGGGGACTCAGGACGGCTTACATTTGGCAACAATTCGATGCCACATATCCAAGCAATATAACAACAATTAAAGAATAGATAAAAACAATAATAAACATTAATTAAAACAATAAAAACAGCAAAAACAGTATTAACAGCCGTATCATCATTCTAGTCAAATTCCCAGATTGATCTGAAAGATGTCCAACTGCTCTCCCATCCAAAATGTGCCAAAACTGACTTCCTAGTTGCCCACCTTTGGCCCCCAAGAGCACCATGTACCAGGTATCATCTTTCCCCACATTGGTTTCGGCACCTCTGGAAGATCTGGGCCCATGTCTAATTCAGTCTTAAGGACCAAAGTTTTAAAATACCTGAGAGACACTAAGAGGGGAGAAAAACAAATTTGTATATTTGGAAAAGGACTGCCTCTGTGCCTTGCTTCCTACCTTTCTGTCCATATTTGGTCCCAAAGAGCACCATGTGCCAAGTATCACCTTTCCCCACATAGATTTAGACAAGATTCAAACCCAGATTTGATCCAATCTTAAGAACCAAACTTGATTCTAAAAAACCAAAGAGACACAGAAAGAGGGGGAAACACATGCATATTTGGAATGGGGCAGCTTACCCTCTAACTCTCCGACCACTATTGGCCCTAAGGAGCACCATGCACCAAAGGCACATTGGTTTAGACCAGGCATAAACAAACTTCGGCCCTCCAGGTGTTTTGGACTTCAACTCCCACAATTCCTAACAGCCAAGGCTGTTAGGAATTGTGGGAGTTGGAGTCCAAAATACCTGGAGGGCCAAAGTTTGCCCATGCCTTGGTTCTTCCTCAATCTCAAAGCTTGGTTCTAAAAGATCTGAAAATAAGGACACAAAGAGATATTTGGAAAATATGGATTTGAGTCATGACTTTTTCACGGGGCGGACCTGGCCTGAGCTCAAGACATTTCAAAATGAAAGCAAAGCATTTCCCAATTCTGCCCCAGGGCTAATATTTAGGCACCTCTGGAAAATCCAAACCCAGTTCTACTCCAATCTCAAGACTAGAGAAACACTGAAAGGGGAGATTTGGGAAAGAACTGCTTTGCCTCCTGCTTTTGGCTCCAAAGAGCACCGTGTGCCAAGTAGCACATTGGTTTAGATCTGAACCCGGCCCTTCTTCAAATGACACAGATAGAGGGAGATTTGGAAAAGAACCGCTTAGCCTCCTACATTTCCGCCCACCTTTGACCCCCAAAGAGCACACCATGTGCCAAGTAGCACCTTTGGCTGGACACCGAGGGGCCAAAGGGTCACTCCGAAAGATGCCCAGCCAGTCTCAGGCCTTGAAGGTCCTGGCTGGCCAATGCCAAGCTCTCCGACTTCCAGGCTGTGCCAGGTTGCACCCAAAGAGCACCGTATGCCAAGTGGCACCTTTTCCTAGATTTGTTTTGATCTGAACCTGGCCCGTCTTCAAATGACGCAGAAAGAGGGAGATTTGGGAAAGGACCACTTTGCCTCCTACCCTTCTGCCCACCTTTGGCTGGACACCGAGGGGTCAAAGGGTCACTCTGAAAGATGCCCAGCCAGTCTCTGGACTTGAAGACCACTGGTTGGCCAATGCCAAGCTCTCCAACTTCCAGTTTGTGTCAGGTTGTGCCCAAAGTAAATCGTATCACAAATAGCACCTTTTCCTACATTGGTTTAGATTTGAATCCAATCCTTCTTCAAATGACGCAGAAAGAGGGAGATTTCGAAAAGAATCACTTTGCTTCCCACCTTTGTCCCCCAAAGAGCACACCATGCACCAAGTGACACCTTTGGCTGGACACCTAGGGGTCAAAGGGTCACTCTGAAAGATGCCCAGCCAGTCTCTGGTCTTGACGACCCCTGGCTGGCTAATGCCAAGCTCTCCAACTTCCAGGTTGCGCGCAAAAAGCATCGTATGCCAAGTGGCACCTTTACTATAATGGTTTAGATCTCAACTTGGTCCTTCTTCAAATGACGCAGAAAGAGGGGATTTGGAAAAGACCACTTTGCCTCCTACCTTTCCGCCCACCTTTGGCCCTCAAAAAGCACACTATGCACCAAGTGGCACCTTTGGCTGGACACCGAGGGGCCAAAGGGTCACTCCGAAAGATGCCCAGCCTATCTCTGATCTTGAAGAACCCTGGCTGGCTAATGCCAAGCTCTCCAACTTCCAGGTTGTACCCAAAGAGCACCGTATGCCAAGTGGCACCTTTTCCTTCATTGACTTAGATCTGAACCCGGTCCTTCTTGAAATGACGCAGAAAGAGGGAGATTTGGAAAAGGACTGCTTCACCTCTTACCTTTCTGCCCACCTTTGGCTCCCAAAGAGCACACCATGTGCCAAGTGGCACCTTTGGCTGGACACTGAGGGGCCAAAGGGTCACTCCGAAAGATGCCCAGCCTATCTCTGATCTTGAAGAACCCTGGCTGGCCAATGCCAAACTCTCCAACTTCCAGGTTGTGCCAGGTTGCACCCAAAGAGCACCATACGCCAAGTGGTACCTTTTCCTACATTGGCTTAGATCTGAACCCGGTCCTTCTTGAAATGACGCGGAAAGAGGGAGATTTGGAAAAGGCTCGCTTCGCCTCCTACCTTTCTGCCCACCTTTGGCCCCCAAAGAGCACACCATGCACCAAGTGGCACCTTTGGCTGGACACCGAGGGGCCAAAGGGTCACTCCAAAAGATGCCCAGCCGGTCTCAGGCCTTGAAGGCCCCGGCTGGCTGATGCCAAGCTCTCCGACTTCCGGGTTGCGCCCCGCCTGCGGCAATACATAAATGTCACAGACCACAGCGCATGAAAAAACCGGAATATTGCTCCCGGCACTAAATCGAAGACAAGCCTTAACAAGAAAGAAGCCGCAAATGGGGTTTTCTTCTTTCTTTCTTTCTTTCTTTGCACATTTCTCCAAAGGTCACAAAGGACTCACCTGGGCAGGTCTTGGGCCGGTTTCTCTTGCGCCAAAGGAGTGCTTCGGGGTCTCTTTCTTTCCTCTGAGGAGCAAAACTTAAAAATGCCCCAATCCGGTGATTGCATGCGCTTGGCGCCAGCCCACATTCACAAGAATATATCTATATTTTGAAGAATGTATTTCACTTGCCTGCTTCTGGCTGCCCACTTCCTCAAGCGGAGGAGGAGCGAGAGAGAAAGAGAGAGAGAGAGAGGGTGAAACTCAGCCGCCAATGTTCGGCAAGCAAAGGGACTTCCGTAGCAACTGCTGCTGTGAAAAAATGTGCGCGCACGCACACACACACACATGTACTAAGCACACACAGACATGCACCAAAGAGGAAAAGGCTGCCTTCCTAGGCTTGCAACACAGTTCTCTGCAAATAAAAGACATACCTTGCATGCATATAAAAGAATACAGGCTTTTGAGCTACACAGAGATCCTCGGCGGACAGAGAGGAGAGTTTCCAACAGACCTCACAACCTCTGAGGATGCCTGACATGAATGCAGGTGAAATGTCAAGAGAGAATGCTTCTGGAACATGGACATACAGCCAGGAATACTTGCAGCAACCCAGAAGAGTTCTAATGTGTAGAGCCAGAAGGAATTCAAGACAAAAACTGGGGTGTGTTTACACCAAGCATGGGCAAACTTGGGCCCTCCTGGTGCTTTGGACTCCAACTCCCACCATTCCTAACAGCCTCAGGGAACTCCAAAGGCCATCCAGCCCAACCCTAGTTGTGCCATGCAGACAGGTATCATCAAAGCACTCCTAATAATATCAAAACTGACCCATTATTGCATTTAGAAAATTCATTTGCAAGTGAGATGGTGATCTAGGCTAGACAGCTCCCTGAGGCACTAGCTTTCTATGTGTGTGGATCTATATATGCATTCATGTATACTTGTGCTTATGTATTTATTCAGAAGCTATTTGTCACCCAAGCCACATACTGTTATGATATGATCAATGCAAGGTTTCACAACCAAATGTTGGAATCCTAGAGTTGGAAGAGCCCCCCAAAGTTCATCCAGTCCAGTCCTATTTGTGACATTCCGAAAAACACGACCAAAGCACTCCTCACAGATGCCCACCTAAGCCTTTGGTTTGTAACCTTGATTCCAATAGACTCCCAGGTGATCCATTTTCCGGTAGAGTTGGAAGGGACCCCAAAAGGCCATCCAGTCCAATTCTATTTGTGACATTCAGGAAAACACAACCAAAGCACTCCTAACAGATGACCATCCAGCCTTTGGTTTGTAACCACAGATTCCAATAGACTCCAAGGCGATCTATTTTCTGGTAGAGTTGGAAGGGACCCCCAAAGGCCATCCAGTCCAACCCTATTTGTGACATTCAGGAAAACACAACCAAAGAACTCCTAACAGATGACCATCTAGCCTTTGATTTGTAACCACAGATTCCAGTAGACTCCCAGGCGATCCGTTTTCCGGTAGAGTTGGAAGGGACCCCAAAAGGCCATCCAGTCCAACCCTATTTGTGACATTTAGGAAACACAACCAAAGCCCTCCTAACAGATGCCCATCCCGCCTTTTGTTTGTAACCACAGATTCCAATAAACTCCCAGGCAATCCATTTTCCGATAGAGTTGTAAGGGACCCCTAAAGGTCATCCAGTCTTACTCTATTTGTGACATTCAGGTTACACAAAGCACTCCTAGTAGATGGCCATCCAGCCTTTGCTTTGAAACTTTCAGAAAGGGGATTCCACAAGACTCCCAGGTGGTTCACATTCCACTAGAATGAAGGGAACCCCATCCAGTCCATAGAATCAAAGAGTTGGAAGAGACCTCATGGGCCATCCAGTCCAACCCCCTGCCAAGAAGCAGGAATATTGCATTCAAAGCACCCCTGACAGATGGCCATCCAGCCTCTGTTTAAAAGCTTCCAAAGAAGGAGCCTCCACCACACTCCGGGGCAGAGAGTTCCACTGCTGAACTGCTCTCACAGTCAGGAAGTTCTTCCTCATGTTCAGATGGAATCTCCTTTCTTGTAGTTTGAAGCCATTGTTCCATTGCGTCCTATCCTCCAAGGCAGCAGAAAACAAGCTTGCTCCCTCCTCCCTGTGACTTCCTCTCATATATTTATACATAGCTATCATGTCTCCTCTCAGCCTTCTCTTCTTCAGGCTAAACATGTCCAGCTCTTTAAGCCGCTCCTCATAGGGCTTGTTCTCAAGACCCTTGATTATTTTAGTTGCCCTCATCTGGACACATTCCAGCTTGTCAACATCTCTCTTCAATTGTGGTGCCCAGAATTGGACACGAACATTACTTGCACAAAGACACAACCAAAGCACTCCTGACAGATGGCCAGCTAGCCTGTGTTTAAAAACCTACAGAGAAGGAGACAAAGAAGGAGACCACTGGAAGCACAGAAATCCTGATGACCTCTCAGAGGTAATGCAATGGATTCCTGCATTAGGTGTGGGTCAGCCTAGATGACCCTTAGGGTCCCCTTCCAACTCTATGGTGTAACAAGAGAGAAGAACAAAGCCTGCTACAAAAGTAGAAGGAATTTAATTTTTTGTTCTTGCAAAATCGGTGGAGGAGCGCACCAAAGTGGGTGGAAAATCAAAATGTATCTCCACAGTCTCATGATGGGCTGCCAGATATAGAAGCCACAGTGGGGAAAAAATGACTGGCAGGTTTCAAAGGGAGGCAAGGAGTTGGAGAAGCTTGCTCTTCTTTCCTTCAGATGATGCATTCGCTGGCCAGTCCTACCAACAAAAGGGGTTTGGAGGAGGAACTGCATCATTGCGTAGTTTGAAATACTTGTGTTTTTTTCTGTCAGAAATACAAAAAAGGAACTGACAGTAGAATAGATTTCTTTGGAAGGCAATGGAGTTTCCGTTGATGGAGATCTTGAAACAGAAAGTAGATGCAGAAGGTAAAGGAAGCCTAAGGGTCATCTAGTCTGACCCTCTAGATCAGTGGTTCTCAACCTTCCCAATGCCACGACCCCTCAATATAGCTCCTCATGTTGTGCTGACCCCCAACCATGACATTATTATATACTGTAATTTGGCTCCTGTTATAAATCATAATGTAAATATCCGATATGCAGCATGTATTTTCATTCACTGGACCAAATTTGGCACAAATACCCTATACGCCCAAATTTGAATACTGGTGGGATTGGGAGGAGGGACTGATTTAGTCATTTGGGAGTTGTAGTTGCTGGGATTTATAGTTCACCTACAAAGAGCATTCTGAACTCCACCAACGATGGAATTGAATCAAACTTGACACACAGAACTCCCATCACCAAATACTGGAAAGGCTTGGTAGGCATTGGCTTTGAGTTTTGTAGTTGTAGTTCATTTACATCCAGAGGGTTGGAGGGGGAATTGATTTGGGAATTGTAGTTGTTGGGATCTATAGTTCTCCTACAATCAAAGACATTCTGAACTCCACCAATGAAGGAACTGAATCAAACTTGACACACAGAACTCCCATCACCAACAGCAAATACTGGAAAGGTTTGGTGGGCATTGACCTTGAGTTTTGGAGTTGTAGTTCACCTACATCCAGAGAGCACTGTGGACTCAAACAATGAGGGATCTGGACCAAACTTGGCACGAATACTCAATATGCCCAAATGTGAACACTGGTAGAGTTTGGGGGAAATAGACCTTGACATTTGGGAGTTGTAGTTGCTGGGATTTATAACAAATGCTGAGGATGCTTGCCATAGATGCAGGCGAAACGTCAGGAGAGAATGCCTCTAGAACATGGCCATATAGTCTGAAAAAACCTACAACAACCCAATGATTCCGGCCATGAAAGCCTTCGACAATACATTAAATACTCGATATGACCAAATGTGAACACTGGTGGAGTTTAAGGGAAATAGAGCTTGACATTTGGGAGTTGTAGTTGCTGGGATTTATAGTTCACCTACAATCAAAGAGCATTCTGAACTCCACCAAGGATGGAATTGAACCAAACTTGGCACACAGAACTCCCATGACCAACAGAAAATACTGGAAGGGTTTGGTGGGCATTGACCTTCAGTTTTAGTTGTAGTTCGACATCCAGAGAGCATGCTCAAACAATGACGGATCTGGACCACTGATTGATACTAGTTCATACCTCCGGGCGCGTGGACTCACAATGGTAGATGGCCACTTGGACTACCCTGCCCCATGTGCCCGGAGAGTTTCGGGGCCCTATCGCTCCCTGGGCTTGCGGTGGACCGTGTATCGTCACCCTCCCCGCGTCTTGCACTTCACACGATGCCCGAGCCTCCCACTTGACCCCAGACCAGACCACTCGACCTACGGGTTATGACGCGCTGGGACCCCTCTCCACCATGCGTTTGCTCCCCACGTTGAGAACCTGTCTATTACTGATTATCAGGGGTCAGGAGAGTTTTCGTGCTCCCTTTCGCCTCGCGCAGAATGAAATCCATGCCTCCTCAAATCGACCATTTTTTGGTTTGCATGAGTTTGATCTATTCATTTAAGTGTAAAATAATATACTTGAATTCACGATCTTACATCATTCATAATTTTTCCCTCTTTACAAAAAAAACAAACCAATTGGGTTCAAGGTTCAAGGTGAGTGTGGCTTACACCGCAAATACCTCTCGTGTGTTCAATAGTCTTATATCGTTTTGTATA